CTCCGCAGGAACCTATAAGACTCGGTGCTCTAGTTTAAAAAATAACTCAGTAAAGAATCACACGTATACAAGTTTCCCCTTTTCCCAAAGGTGGTTGATTAGCCTACGAGGCTAAAGCAGCTAACAAGTAGTAGTGGGCAACATACTGGTTCATCTGGAATACTGGTTGAACTTCTTCAGGTATGAGTTTTGTTATAACCTTTATACTGGTATGTTCAGAAGTCTGGAGAGGCCATGAGCAAATTTTTCTGGATTATTATCTTGCGATCATAAGATAGTTAACTTGTTATCTCAAGATAATAATCCAGAAAATTATAACTACCTCATGGCCTCTCCGGACTTCCGTAGGTATGCCCAAACAATGCCAATGCGCAAAACAGTCTAAAACACGCTAAGGATAGCCTGTTTAGCTGAATGGCTGAGGGAAAATGCAGCAGCACTTTCTGCAAATGTTAATGCACAATTGTTTTGTATCTGATGAACTTAAAAAACAGAAAAAAATAAAATAGTAATTGTGGAATGTGCAAAAGTTTAGACACCCTTCCAACTGAAAACTCTGAAAGCTTAATTAACTTGTTAGGCCTTAACTGACTCTTTAGGACTGTTTAGGTAGGTCAAGAATTGTCATAAAGCTAAGTGATGCCAACAAAGCATGAGGAGGTTATAAAAAAGGATGTTGAAGTATTTCAGTGTACAATTTCCTCTGTCCAAAATGTCATTACGAAATGGCAGTTAAGAGGAGGTGGTGGTGCACTGCTCTACTGTGCAGTGTTGTCAACCTTCAGATCAGCATGATCAAACAGGATCTGCATGGAAGAGTCATCAGAAGGAATAACAAAAATCAACATCTATGCAAAAACGACATGTAGATAAGCCAGAGGCATTTTGGAAACAAGTGCTGTGGCCACAAACACCAAAGATATGTTTGGAGAAAAAAAAGGAGCACTATGTGATGAAAAGAAAGCTCCGCAAATAAGAGTGGGTGAAAATACCTAAAACAAGAACTAAAACTCTCTTAGCTGGCTCCAAAAATTCTAAGTACTGAGTTAATAGGGCACCCAAATTTTTGCATACGTTACAATTACTATTTTATTTTACAACCCCATTTCCAAAAAGCAAAGAACTTTTGCTTTTCATCATCTACAGTACATAATAACATTAAAAGATTCAGAGAATCTGGAGAAATCTCTGTATGCAAGGGACAAGGCCGAAAACCATTTTTTGCTGGCCATGATCTTTGGGCCCACAGGCAGCACTGCATTAAAAACAGACATGAGTCTGTAGTGGAAATCACTTTATGGGCTCAGGAACACTTCTGAAAACCACTGTCTGTGAAAACAGTTCATCGCTGCATCCACAAATGTTAAAAAGTTAAAACTCTAAAACGCAAAGGAGAAACCACATACAAAAAGGATCCAGGAACTCTGTCACCTTCTCTGGGTCTGAACTCATTTAAAACGGACTGAGGTGAAGTGGAAAAGTGTCCTGAGGTCCGACGAATCACCATTTGAAATTCTTTTTGGAAATCATAGACACATGTGACATGTGTCCTCCGGGCTAAAGACCAGTCAGCTTGTTATCAGTGCACAGTTCAAAAGCCAGTATTCATGATGGTATAGAGGTGCATTAGTGCACATGGTATGGGTGGCGTGAACATCTGTGAAGGTACCATTAATGCTGAATAATATATACATGTTTTAGCAACATATGCTACTATCCGGACAACATCTTTTTCAGGTCAGGCCTCGATTATTTCAGCAAGACAATGTAAAACCATATTCTGCATGTATTACAACAGCATGGCTCTGTATTAAAAGAGTGCTAAACTGACCTTCCTGCAGTCCAGACTTGTCACCCACTGATAACATGAAAAATACGACAAAAGAGACCCCAAACTGTTGAGCAGCTGAAATCCTATGTTAAGCAAGAATGAAAAACATTTCACTTTCAAATCTACAGTAGTTCCCAAACGCTTATAGAGTGCTGTAAAGAAGTGGTGATGAAACACAGTGGTAAACATGCCAACTTTTTGGAACATGTTGGCATCAAATTCAAAATGGGCATATATTTTTCAAAAAAACTTTGTAGTATTTTCCTTTAAAATATGGTTCACATGATTTGCATATCATTGCATCCTATTTTTATTTACATTCTGCACAGCGTCCCAACTTTTTTGGAAATGGGGTTGTATTTTTTCAATTTTCTAAGTAAACAAATGCACAAGTAACTGTTGTTTCTAAAATAGTTTTCAGAAGTGGCTTTTACTTCTTTTCACTTCTTTTCAAAGCAAAAATTATGTACAGTCAAAGACATTTTTTGATTTTGTGAAAAAAGTTAACCTCTACAGAGAACACACTTCTGTACACTGCAAGGCACAACTAATGTTTATTTGCTAAATTTAACATATAATAAAAAACAAAAAAACAAAATGTGGACTGTGCAAAAGTTATAGTACACTTTATATTTTTTATTTTTTCCATTATGTTACACTTAGTAAATAAACAGAAGTTGTGTAGTTTGCACAGTGCTAATTCATTGCTTGTTACATTTGCTTGCTACATTAGCCTCATAGCTCCAGAGCAAAGCTAAAGAAGCAAATTTCACACATCAAATGTCTTGGCTGATTAATTACATTTGGAGAAAGGTGGGGGGGGGTACTGTAAATGAGATTTTTTTTCCAAATTATCTCTTTCAACCACAACAGGTCACTGAGGCAATGTGCAGCCAGGGAAACGCAGAGGACTTTACAGCAACAGGTGGGCGGGGTAAGGGGCCATCAGAGCAAGAAGTAGCCAAGGTAACAGGTAGCCGTGGCAACACTCAGATACTACAATCAGCTGAGGAAGCAGGCAGAGATTCACAGAAAAGAGTCCATGACCAACGACAAGCCAAGGAGACTGGCACAGGCAGAAGACTAAAGCTGACAAAGAAAGTGAGGGGAAAAGAAAAAAGGAAAGATAAAAAAAAACAAAAACCTCTATCCATCAGACCCTTTCCTGAGTGCTCGATTTGTTCCTATCCTTTTTATCCAGTCAAGCAAAAAAATCTGCAGCAGGATGATGTGTTGTTATTTTCAGGAACAAACGTCCAACTAAGACGACAAGAAGAAGGCCTTTTAACACAAAGCCAGAGCCAAAATTAGAATCACTCAAAGAAATATGTCAGCTTTTAGACTTCTGCCAGCTAGGAAAGGCCCATAAATAGCACTTCTGCATTTAGCCTGGAGACAACAGAACCACAGGACTTTGTGTGAGACAAAGATTTTTACATGTCATTCAAAAAAGACATAAAATGTCCCCCACCCCCCTCACTCCCTGCTTTCTTCAGCTACTGCGAGACATGAAAATGATTTTCTCAACAGATGCAGAGAGGAGGAGAGGGGCACATGGGAAAGAGAAGGAGAAAGAGAGAGATAATGATGGTGTTGAGGGTGATGCTGGTGGTGGTGGTGATGAACTAATTTCCATTCTGGGGCAATGAGGCACTCACTCAGCTTCCCCCCTCACCCCCACCCTGCTGGAACACCAGTGGAAATACCAGGAGAGTTCATTTCTCCATCCTGTAGTCATCGCCCTGCTGAGGCAGGGACACTGTCTTGACTGAGCCAAATTTTGTCTTTTGATTTTTAAATATTAAACAGGCCTAAAACAAAGTGTCCACAACCTACAAACTACAGCACTTTACAAATGGTAAAATCAGTCCAATGGTAATGAGAAATACAAACAGTGGATAAAAGAATGCTTTGCTTTCATGCACTGGACACCACTGACGCTTTCAAAAAGCCTCAGTTTAGGCGAAAACCCTTTAACTTGTCTCTTGGTCATTTCAAAGAACTGACTTTCAAAAAGAGTTTTTTTTTTTGTTTAGTTTTTTTTAATTACCTTGTAGCTTATATTGTAGTTCATATTTGTTTAATTCAAAAGCATACAGTACTGAGCAACTGGCAGAGACCACCTTTCATTTATTTAATTTTAAAACCGCTATTGAGATTTTAGGGTTAATTATTTATTTTGCACTTTCAGAAAAAAAGCAAGAAAACATATATTAGCAGGTTTACACAGAAGTCGTCTCAACTATTTTAAATATTTTTTTATTGGGTCAGCCCTTTGCCTTAATCACAGCTTCCACTTTTTCAAAGAGTTTTTTTTTTTCCCAAAGAAATCTGCAGGGATATTTTTCCATGCTCCTTGTAAACACCCCCAAAGTTCAGACTCAGAAGTTTGTTTGTAAATTTTCTGCTTCTCATGATCCTAAACACATTCAGTGATGTTGAGGTCTGGACTCTGGGGTGGTCAGTCCATTGTTCTGAGAACACCAGCAGCTTCTTTGTTTGATTTGAAAATTTTATTATTTTTTTTCTATTTCCTTTTCCCAGTATTGTCTTCTTGACCGGTACACATTCTTTCAAACTCATAGTGTTGAGTTGTATTCTCAGAGTGGAAGGATGGACAGAAACCCCTGTGGATTTTTCTAAATCTAAAGCAAAAAAGAAGTGTTTATCTGATGGTGAAAGTTTTGGTGGTATATTATACTTCATCTCTTTATATATATATATATATATATATATATATATATATATATAGATATATATATATATAATATTAATAACTTGTGAAAATGGCTGTTTAAACTGGAAAGTAAATAAAAGAAGAGTGGTCTCTGACTTTTGCACAGTACTGTAAATAAAAAGCAAAAAAAAAAGCATCTTTAAGCATGAAAATCAAGATTAGTAAAGTACCAATATGAAAACTCTTGCCCTACACCAGAACTGTTTAAAAAAAGTGAAAGTGAAAAATATATATTTTTCATTTGCCGGTTTAGCAATTCTGCAAAAAATGGCAAATAAAAAATATAATTTTCATTTTCTGTCCAAGCAGGTCCTGAATTCTGGTTTAGGGCAAGAGTTTTCATTTTGGTGCATCACTAATTTTGATCCACTTCACTCTCTGTGCCCCATTTCCCCTGATTCAAGACTTCAGAAGTGTTGGAGCTGCTCTTACCTTCAGAGCACAGAAGATGCACGAGTCCTCCATGCACTTGTGTGTGGTCAGTTGCCGGAAGCTTCTGCGGAAGATGTCAAGATGCCAAAGTACCTGTGGGATAAAAAAAGAGTGATAAAAAGTCAGCATTTCAAAGTTTCCTCTTCACTGAAGTAAAAATGTGTTAAACCCATCTTTTGTTCTCCTGGCACATCTGTAGAGCTTCACAAAGTGACAAAAGAAGTGGAATTTGAGTATTAGAGCCAAACACGAAAAACAGACCCATCCTAAGACTTTTCCCATGGAAAGGGCAGTGCGCTGCCCGCTGCCAGCACAATCTGCCTCCAGAATCTTCCCCAAAGCCTCCTCCTGAGCCAAAGCACGCTAGTACACAACTGCTTTAACTTCAGCATCTCCTTCACACGCACTCACCCCCCGCAGATGTGCACATTACACCGTACAGTCCAGTGGTTCTCTGGCCCTGTCCTGCACTCGCTCCCTCCGGCCAAAATTCCCGCAGTCCTCCAATCCCCCTCAATCAATGTGAGCCAGTGCTGGCAGCCTGTGCCCACTGATCGCTTGCCAGGTGCCCACTCCACTTAATCCGTCCAGCAGAGCAGGAATCCAGTGCTTTTCTGTAGCTGCACCGCTAAAAGCAAGGGGTCCAAGCACCGCTCATGATAGAAAAGGAAAGAGCAAACGAAGGACAGGGAAAAGGTTAACGTACGGAGCCGCAGACCCGCAGAGAGAAAGAAAGGGAGAAGTGAGCACTCAAAGAGAGGGAGAGCAAGTGAGAGAGAGAGCTGTAATCACAAGAGAGCCAGCACAGAGAGCGAGAGAGAGACAAAAGGGAAGGGGGGGTGGGGGGGCGGGTAGAGTAAGATTGTTGCAGTGATGTTAAACTAAAAAGTGCTGATACTGAAAGCACCATAACAGCATGCAAGCAAGAGAGACATGCATGTGTGTGTGTGTGTGTGCATGTGTGTGTGCGTTCTCCAATGCTTGAGAGTGTGTTTTCACCGGCTTCTCTGGCCTGTCACTTAGATTAATTCACACTCGTCCTACACATGGAGATGGAGGGAGGAAAGAGGGCAAAAGCTGCATGATTACACCAGACTTTACAGCCAGACTGCACCTTCACCCGGAATCAACCATCTGGACCTGAAGCAGCACACCCTGCGGTCTGCACACCACAGAAGCACACTTACAAACATCCATTATTTCCACCCTCTCCCTGCTTTCACCCACCAACAAAGAAACTAGGAAAGCAGTGATATGGAGTTTATTGGCCAATACCCATGCCCATGTCAAAACAAAACACTATAATCCATGTGAAGTGCAAAGAGAAATATGGCAAAGAGAATTTGCCATATTTGCCAGATAGCCATGATAGATGGCATGAATAAGCACCATTTTATATTTCACATATCATTCTTATCTAGGGCCGTTCACTAAAAATGTAACATCAAAAGTCTTTTCCAGTTTGTCTCTCTGGGTCTCCCCTCATCAACGTGATACCAGTCTATGTCAGCGTAACAGAATTGGCAGTTAGAGCTCTCCTCCAAGCGTATTGAGCTGTCCAATGCTTTAGCTGCAGTTTAAAAAGATGCAGTAGCTGGCTTCACATGTCTAGGAGGAAGCATGTGCTAGCCTTCACCCTCCCAGCTTGTTAGCATAATGTGACTGGGGGAGACCTAGACTGTTTCTCAATATACGTTACTGTGTGTTCTTGCTTGATGTCATCTTTCACTGTCCAAGCAGAACAGTTAAAGTACCCAGATGTGTTCTCCATCTTTCAAGTTCATCATCAATTTATTGGCCCGGATGCAGACATGAAATGATTTCACTGTGAAACCTACCGTGTGTAGTGGTTACAAACAGTGAATACGTTTATCTTTTTAGACCTGAGGACTTTGCAGCTAAGCTAATCAGACAAAATGCTTTTGAAACCTCCACGACCTGGCCAAGTGCCAGGTAAAACTCCCGAAACAGATCAGTCCAAATGCGAACACTGACGTAGAGGGAATGAAAATGTATTCCCACTTAGAGTTACCTGTCGTGCTACCCCAACTTGGCTGAAGTTGGCTTCCTATTCGCCAGCTTCTTATTCAGATTTTCTGTTCCAGCTTAGATGATGCCAGAATGTACCTGAAGCACCATTCAAAGTGGAATGGAAAATGTGAATAAGAAGCTGACAAATAAGATGCTAACTTCGCTTTATAAATAGAAGCAGCTAGCTGCCAAAACAACCATTAAACTGTTACCTAACACACAACTTGTTCACATGATAGAAATGTTTTTTTTATTAAGGACAGTTGAGAAGCAGAACTCAGTTAATGCTAGATAATGTCCTCAATTTAATGACACAGAGGAGAGAGAACAAAACTGACCGAGGCACATTGACAAGATAGTAGTTAAGAACAAAGGAAGTAACCTTTCTCTCTCTCTCTCTCTCTCTCTCCCACTTGTTATTATAGATCGTTCCATACAAATTGTAACTTTTTTAAATAAACGTTTCAATAAACTTTTTACAAATATTGTCATTGACTTTTTTTTCCATGGACAAATGATTTTGGCCTTCAGTCAAGTAAAATGTGGATTTACTTATCTCTATGATAAGTCTCTGAAAAAGCTTAATGTTAAGCCTTGATCAGGTTAGCTTAGTTATACTTATAGCTTTCTGCAAACAGTTTGTTCATTGAACATAATGTGCAGAACGTTTGTGCAACGCTTCTGTTGTCACCAGTCATGAGTCAGAAATGTGAGAAATATAGCAGCTTGCAGCAAATGGCAAAAAATAGATTTGAGGCTTTGAGCATGAGTTATCTTCATCATCAATTACATGACACTAATTGCACTTTGTGCACGCATAATCACTGTACTAGTACCACACTGATAACATAGGAGCACTTTGCAAGCAGCAGCAGTGCAGTTAAGAAGCAGCATGGTTACTGCTTCTGATCTAAAGTGCACTTTTCTGCTCTCAAAAAAATAGTGCATGTTGCATGTTGATCATTGCAGCTTTAGTGACTATACATGCATCAGTGCACACATGAGCTTAAATATAGGGCACTAAATTATCGGCTCTATGGTACCGTTATAAGCAAACAGTCCAATACTGTAATTAATAATATTTTTTTCTTCACAATTGTGTGCAAATACAACTACTCGAGCAGCATTCTTGCTTAGCCACGCATCTCCCGAAACAGATCAGCAGTGTTCATACAACAGATACTGCAGAAAAGTTGCAGTGTCACGGTTTATCTGAAAAGCGACGCCATCTGCTAACTCTGTTCTGAGGCCAGACAGGAGTGCTGCTTGTCACTGCCTGCCTTTGTGGACACTTGTTTCTTTGAAAGCTGGAGGTTGTGCAAGCTCCCCGCTGTGCTTCCCTGGGTGGAGATGCCAGGGCGCTAGTGCATAGCAAATTAAAATTCATAAGCACTTTGATCACTTGTATGATGACATTACCCTATAGCAGCCTGCAATGCTAACTCAGGCATTCACGCACAACATGGCACCCAAAACTTTATGACACGGCATGTCAACCTGCGTCCCTGACCCATAACAGAAAAAACTACTGAAAAAAATCTGTATCTGTGCAAAGTAACAGAATGTCAACTTTAGTTTACAGCATCATAAAGCACAATAGCAAGTCTGAGATTACTTAACAAGTCAACACAGTTTAAGGCACAGTTTGTGCGTTAATTTAGACATGCAGTTTTTGTGATGCTATCCTGGTGGGTTATGAGCTTCAACAAATTTTTAACTACATTGTAGCTCCATACTAAAGATGCAAACTCTAAACACCCAGGATGTCTTGGCTAATCGACCATATTTGGAATAAGAAGAAAATTCTAATTTCTTCATCTAGTTGTATGTGATTGCCATGAATTTTAACTATGGATCCACGATGATCAGAATCATATCGCTATCGGCAGATACTTGCTTTAAAAAAGAAGATACATACATAAACACACGTGGTGGAACATCTCACAACTGATTAGGTTAATCAGGTTAAACAGGTCAGTATCACGATTGGGTATAAAAAGAGCATTCTGGGCGGGCTCCTGAGTGGCGCAACCGTCTAAGCATTTGCCCTATCATCAGGAGATCACAAGTTCGATCCATGGTGATGTTACAGCCATCCGTGGCCGGGAGTCCAAGAGAGCACAATGGCCTCGCTCTCTCTGGGTGGGTAGGATGTTGGTGTGAGCAGCAGCTCAAAAAGATGAGGTAGCTGGCTTAACAGGTCTCGGAGGAAGCCTGTGTTAGCCTTCACCCTCCCAGCGTTGGTAGTATCATGTGACTGAGGCAGTCCTAACTAGTGGGTAGAACTGGAGACGACTAAATTGGGGAGACAATCGGGGGAAAAAAATTGTTAAAAAAAAAGCATTCCAGAGAGGCTGAGTTTTACAGCAGTAAAGATGGGGAGGGGTTCACCACTCTGTGAAAGACTGTGCAGGCAAATCGTGCAATGATTCAAGAATAATGTTTTTCAACGTAAAATAGCAAAGAACTTGGATTTCATCAACAACAGTACATAACATAATTTAAAGATTCAGAGAATCCAGAAAATGTATGTATACAAGGTTAAAAAAACAATATTGGATGGCCATGATCTTCTGACCTTCAGGTGGCACTGTATTTAAAACAGATTCGATTCTGTAGTGGAAATCACTGCATGAGCTTAGGAACACTTCAGAAAACCATTGTCTGTGAATGCAGTTTGCCACTGCATCCACAAATAGAAGTTAAAACTATGGTAAAAACCATAAATAAACAGCATCCATAAACGCCACTGCCTTCTCTGGGCTCGAGCTCATTTAGGATGGATCGAGGCGAAGTGAAAGGTGTCCTGTGGTACAACAAATCAAAATTTAAAATTCTTTTTGGAAATCATGGATCAATGACTGAGTCCTTTGGGCTAAAGAGGAGAGAAACCATGCAGCTTGTTATCAGCACATAGTTCAAAAGCCAGCATCCATGATGGTATGGGGTGCTTAACGCACATGGCATGTGTGACACATTTGTTAAGGCTCCATTAATATTGAATGATATTCAGGTTTTGGAGCAACACAGTCTGCCTTCCAGATGATGTCTTTTTCAGCTTA